CACAAAGAGAAGATGTCAATACCAGGTGGGGGCCCTCTGCTCGTTACTAATTGTATTTTCGATGACTTATCGTTGATTCGATATCACTAGGTGCGTTCACACCACACAGAGTGTAGACAGTATATCCTCCTGGCATCCCGTGATATTTAACTGGGTGGGTGGTCTCAAACCTTTATCTATCCAGACAGAGTACCTGAAGGTTTTATATCTACCAGTGTGCATAAATTTGACATTTTTGACTAGCTTTGAATCGATCTAAATACCGCACGGCCTGGCGGAATGAACGTACAGTCGATTGCAATCATGGCGACGAGCACAAAGCGTGCAGTGCAATCAATTGATGGGAGCTATTATTGGAGAAAAGAAGCGTCTCACAAATGGACTAGAGCTGTACCGAGTCGGAACCTATCACAATTCAAATTGATTTACGTTAGTAACCTAAGCGTGAACGTGGCCAGTCTCTAGTTAACCTGGTGGATGCTTTGACACCTGTGTATTTGGCACCTGTGCATTTGTTACTGTTCACAGATCGAATTATCCATTTGATAGTATAATTGCGTCAGGTCATGTGGACGTAATCGTTTCTTTTTTTTAAACATATTTAAACAACTTTAACTTTCGTTTTTTATCTCCAATACCTCGGCATTTATAGATGTTATTTGCATGAATCGATGTTTAAGTCTTGGAACATTTCTAGTGAGTTAGATGACCTTTAGCAAAGCTCATGATTAGGCCTAAAGATTAATTACGGGGACGAACAGGCACTTAAGGTTTGGGAAATTACGAGGAAATTGGAAGGTTTCCACGAGGAGGGGCCCTAATCTTCAGTCATGGAAGGGTCCCTTTGCCGTGCCTGCCTGGTGGGGTCTTCCTTCCTTTTTTATTTATTTGTTTGTTTGTTTATTTATTTATTGCGTCTTTAAACTAGAAATACATGTCGTTAGTTTAAATGATTGAAATCAGTTCTTATAATGGACTGAGGGTGTTTGACCGGAAAATAGTGAACGGCCAACTCTTTTACCTAACAATGAAGATGTTAGACAATTCACACACTTTTAAAAGATGGTTACTGCATCTTTTTAAGGTGAAATTGGTGGCGAAGTTAAGGTGTTTGGTTGTGAAAAATTAAGCTGTGGATCTGGTAGAGGATATACCCCTATTTTTCTAGCACAACTGTCCCCCTATACCCCATGTTTTTATCCCAACTACTGCAATCTTCTCCAAGCACAGCAGACACACGGCACACAGCTGCAGAGATCTCAGGAAGACCTGGGGGAGGGGGGGGGGTGCTGAGGAACACTGGAGATAGTGGGTTGTTACTCTTGGCCAGACACCAGCTGATCGATTACGTCGATTCTAAACACAAATGCTCACAGTACAGAAAAGTGCACATGATAACCCAGAGGAATATCCGTGAATATCTAGTGAAAAAATCAATATGTGGTCCCGGCTGGGGGTAGTGGACTGAAGGCCCAGCTTGCAGTGGGAAGCAAACGGAACAGCAATAAAATTTCACTGGAAAAATCACGGAGAAAGCCAAGACCTCCGCCTAGGCAGCTCGTTTCTTGTGATTAAAACGAAGTTAACCGATTTCAACGGTTAGGCCTACTGTTTGATTTATTAATGGATCACTATAGGGCAAACTTGCAGAATTAATCATACATACGGCATTCCGTGTTGTATGGATGTGCATTATATTTGTCCATTTTTTTAACTTTTCGAAAATTTAATTTGATCAGCGATTTAATCCTTCAGTTTTCATTCAGTTGAAATGTGAAGAGGTAACAACCCGGTGACTGTAAGCCTTGGACACTAGGGACACAAGGGACACAAGAGGGAGCTGCGTAATGTAGTTACATATAGGAATATTTATTGAATCTTACGCGCCAGCCTGTATATATAGGCCTACATATAAATATATAAAAATGTGACAGTAAATTTCACTACAAAACACTAAGCTACAATACAACAACTATATCTGCCAACTCATCCCATTCTAAACATTTGAATGTGGTCATTATCGAAACCATTCAAACCAAAGGTCAGTCAGGTCCAACTACTGCCCACCGAGTCATGGCAGGTCCCGGCTTACGGGTTGTTTTCTTACTTGGCAGCGTGGGTCACCTTGAGATTTTTCAAGGGCACAGTATAGTCATCTCATCTAAGATGGCTAAAAAAAGGACAGGGATGTTATGCACTCTCTCACCGCGACTTGCAGATGTAACTGGCAGATTTGATTTATCTATTTTCATCCAGTTGTTGCCTTGGAAACGGTGTCATCACCATATTTCTTGCCCACTTTGATAAAGTGGTATTGTTTGGGAGGGGGGGGGAGAGGATGTAAGGAAAGGGGTATTAATCAGTTTATTTAATATGTATTTATGTATGTGTGAAATCTTATGGTACATAGGTGTGCATGGTATCGACTTCAACTTTTATTGTGATGCGAAGTACAAACCGCAATGCCTTTATATTCTTTCATACTCTTTATTAATAACTTTTCAGTTGGTTCCTGCGCCGCTTTCTCTCTATGTTTATCTCTACCTCATTAAATCTCCAGCGGCCTATCATGAAGAAATTTCAGACAATTTTTCTTTACGTTTTCCATTGTTTGATTTTTTCACAGACGACCGATATATTCTTTTGAAGGCCATAACACGACACAGCGTGTTTCAATGGTAACTGGTATCACCCCCCCCCCCTCCTTACCAAAAAAAAAAAATCATTTCTGCCTTGGCCCATTTTTGACCTACCGATATCCGGAAAATTCCATCAAACCCGTCAGCATAATGCTTCAAGCAGACAAACTAACTAACTAACTAACTCACTAACTAACGGGAACAAAAACTTAGCCTCCTTAACGGAGGTACAATTGTTTCCCATGGAAATAAGAATATCCCCTAAAAATAGGAAAAACAGATCTTGATGACACAAATTAAGATTGCAACTGAAAGTACTCTTCGGTAAGTTTCTTCAAAACTGTCAAGCCTCATGAGTGTTGATTCTGTTACGTTATGAAACCTCTTATTTATTGATATATGTACAGTGCCGTTTAATAACGCATTAAGATTAATGAATGATCATCAAATACCGAAAATGAGGTTTTTCGTGCTTCTAATTATTGGATAATGCAACTACCTTTTTGATGATTAAAAAGCATGAAAATCACCTCAAAAATATTAAAAAATATTATATTTCTCTCTGCTAAGCATAAGCACCTGCAATAGGTGTCGCCAAGTGTATGCGCTTTCATGCAATACTGTCATTTGGGATTAAATGTTTTTTTTTCATGGATTTATCAGCCTTTAATTTCAACGCATCATTGAACAAAGGCATCATCTTTCAAAGTAAAAATATAAAGGATAAAAAGCTTTTAAGAAAAGAAGCTGACAATATTTTGAAGTACTTAATGGTGTCAATTAATTGGCTTTGAATGGTGTTCGTAATTGCTCAAGTGATATTTTGAAAAACGGACATGCGATTTTAACCCCCAAATCCCCATTATGATGTCCCGAATTCTGACACCACTGTCTTCCAAATCTCGCTTGAAGTCGCTATACCTTGGACTTTCTCGTTGTTCCTGCGCAGGCTCTTAGGGGCCATGGTAGGTCATGGATGGTAGTTGAACTTCTGGCACAGAGACTTCTATATTAAATACTTAGTGCTTGTAGCAGTGCGTCCGACTGTGCGCGTGGTATTTCTGCAATCCAGGATCGGGGTCATGGCCGCAATAACTCAGGAGGAAATAATATAGCCGCCGTTATTATTGTAGGACGTCGACGTTAAATTAAAGCACGATGTATATAATAATATTATCAGTGGATTTTTACATGGCGTGTTCCACAAAAACCCTATGCTTAAAAAATATACAATTGTTTAAAGATTTCTGACATAAATTTAAATTACATTATAATATTATGTGAAGTAACACGCAAGTAGGCTATTGGACGATAAGGTGGCTGATAAATGTTGGGTGGCTGTAATAGTTTTTTCTCTAAGCACTTGTTATTCTTAAATGTAGCTGATTTATTTCATTTTTTTTTATTATTTTTTTTTTTTTACACATCATGACATTCACCTGTCAAGAATGCAGCTGTAACATGTTCCGTTTGTGCTAATATTTATATAAACAACAGCATATTGCTAATGTCTCTGCGGCTAGACTTTATGGGTTATAATCCTGGCGGAGTAAGGTGCCATGGGAATATTAACCAGTGTGAATTGTATCTGTCAGTCCGGTATTTGATATTAATTCTAATGTGCTGGAGACCGGTTTTACCAGTGGAGGGATAATTTCCTACGTTAGAAAGGACAAAATTGATAAGTTGGTTAAAGAGCGTGACCGATCCATGTTCTGAAATTTTACAGCCTATTTTATTTTTTCAAAATAGAAACAAGCAGTAAAGATGTAAAATATACAGATATAAAAGCAAATTATGATGCACAAAATAGGCTATTTGGTCAATTATGATGCAATTTTACATAACACCAAAATCAACACCGAATTTTATAGTTAAGTTGCCAAACAAACAAACGAATACAAACAATGTATGTCATCGATCCTCTTTATAGAGATTCGCCGCCCCGTTGGATATTCAAAGCGAACAAGAATTTGCATTGACATTTGAATGACCTTAAAAGGTCGAGGTAAAATGTGCTTTATTGCTTTTGTAAACTCTGTCAAAACGTATCCAACACACAGTAAGGGAAAGGGGCCTAATAAAAAACACAATGCATTGGCAAAAACTTTTAATCAAAAACGTGGGGTTGGATGAAGGTTGTGGGATAAAAGGTTCTGACACACTTTCACTAAAGTATTGTAAAAAAAGACGTTTTATGACTTGCATATTTTAAAAGAAGTTACACATGCTTCGTGAAGGCCTTAAATTGTTTCAGCTTCATTTTTATGAAACTGGAAAGAAAAATTTTACACAAGGATGACCTTGAGGTCAATGTCAGTGTTGCTCAAATGTTGTTGGAGAAAATATATCAAAACTGCGTTGTTTAGAAGAGGTTTTTATTGACAAAAAAGACAACAAGCATGGAGATAAAAAGCTTACAACTTGTTTATCACAAAGACCTGAAAAAATCTGCTCAAATGCAATCCTGAAGATTAATTAAAAACCGCCAGCTTCTGCCAGGTATTGTGATTTCCTAAGTTCACATCATTTTTGTAGTTTTAATATCTTTGGAAGACTACAGGTGTATGAAAATAAACATGGTACCATATATGTCAGTGTATATGGGAAAATAGAAAAAACTGAATACAAAATTAGGATATATATGAAAAAAATATATAAAGTCTTATATGTCTTTGTCCGACTAAGAATGTGCAACTGTACTAGAAAGTGTGCAAAAAAGAAAAAAAATTACTATGCTAATAATGCTCTTTCTGGAATTTCGATACTACTAGAGTTTGCTTGTTTTTAGTCTTTTGAGGATCTCTTAACTCTAAAATCATTTGACCACTTCAGCAGACAAGCTGTGACATTTTTGGAACAATTCTAAAACATTCATTTAGTAGTTTGTAAATAACATTTATAAACAAAACAGAATCTCTTATCCACAATTCAAGTTCAGGTATTTTGACAGAGGTGAGAGATTTTTTACATGGGATTGCATCTGTAATTATCATAGTACAGGTATTTCTTTCTTCACATAAAATGTGCCATGAAATTATTATAAAAGAATGTTAAAACAATTATGGAAAGACTTATCAAATTATATAAAAGCTAACTAAAGGTATGTACAGTCGAAGATACAGTTATTGCTGACTTGCTCTCATGCAGATGCTAACATCACTACCGGGGCAATTACTGCTTGGTGACCTCGACTTCGTTACTAGAATAAAGTACCAGGAATCGAGTTGTGATGGTGGGGTTATACCTTTTCTTTCTTGCTGTGCATATTCGATCATGCCTCTGCATCCTGAGGCATGTATGTATCGGATTCGATGTGCAAGCTTAATTTTAAAGCAGATCCCACCCATCGATCACTTCTTCATTGGAAGAGGTGAAAAAATAGGTGACATCTTACGACGTCCCTTAAAAAATCAAAAACCATTCCTTTGGATTTGTATTGAATCTGTACATGTAGTAATTCTGTTGATACTTGATCACACTGATCAGTGAGCGAGATCTGCTGTCGCCACTGAGAGAGATAAAGCCATTGGCTATTTAATTTGTGGCATAAAAAAACGACTAATATTGACAGTCCACGAAAAGGGGGTTTGTGCCCCCCTCCCCACCTCCCCACACACATTAAAATTTGGAACCATTTTACGAGCAATGTGGTCTAAATGTCCACAATTTGCGTCCAGCTTCGGAGAAGTATGACGCATGTGCAGTAAACCCCCTTCCTCGATAACGACATCCCAAGTGACAATAAAACTATGTGTTATATATATAAGCAAAAATAGTTAATTAGCTTGGTAGTTGGATCACAAGCTGAAATATTTTCATACCGTTATGACTGATGCGATTAGATGTTTGTTACTCGCTGACCGTTAGGTGGTATAGCGGCCAGGACCCTCTTATAAATATCATGCATATGCTCTACATCTAACTGCCCATACAAATGTTACCACTTAAACTTGTCATCTTAATTCTGCCTTAATGCTTATATTATATTAGTTAAAACTGAAACACATGTAGGCCTACATAAAAGTGTAAATAATAATCTTGGTTTAATTCTCACACACATAGTCAACTGTGCTATGTAAAAATATGTAGTTTCATCAGTAATTTTTAGTGTTTACACAAAAATTAGAATAAAAAATCTCTTTAGTGTGTAACGTCATTAGATCTACATTCATTGTGGTCAAGGGTAATTCTGCTATTTAATATCGACGACCAAAGTTGAATGCTGCAAAGAGTGCCAAGATGGCGACCAGCAGGGCGTTGGCAGGAACACGAACGCTTGAATTGCACTTGTCGCCGTTGCATATGCATGTGGTGACTGTATTGCCGCCGGCTGAAGCCTCCACGCATTTGTACTCAGAGACTAGAATGCCGCAGGACCTGATCACGGTTGTTTGCCCTAAAAAATACAATCAGTAATTGGAGGGGGTGTCACTGCTTCCGGGAAGTTCACCGGGTCACCTTGGCAACCAGCTAGGGTAACGAGGAGCATCGGGGAGGGGCGGGGGGCGAAAAAGAACTCCAACTTTGGCAGAAAGAGGTCTGCTCTGATTAGAACTTGTTATATAGAACTGAACTGAACTGAAAACAATATATATATATATATATATATATATATATATATATATATATATATATATATATATATATATATATAATTTTTTTTTCTATGCAATTTCTGTCTTTTCAAGTTGTGTAATCTAAGGCGGTAAAAGTTCACATTGTTAGGAAATGGCCCTTTGAAATTGCTGACATTAGGCATGAGCGTATGAAAAGGGGTCGCAGAGGGTTCTGTACACAAAAGAGATTGCCCCACCGGCAGTGCGAATAATAAGCCTTCTAAATACAAGTTGTCTTTTTTTTTTTTTTGATAAGCTAAATTAAATGAAGCCGAGTATGACAAAATTAAACCAACCTACCATTGCTGAGTTCGGTTTTAACTTTAGAACAAGCGTTGTTGATGGCCCCACAAGTATCTGGAGTTTTATTGGAAGTATCAAACGGGTCGTCGCATTCGGCACCCACACAACTGTAACACTGAAGCGCTGAGCCTGAAAACAAATGATAGACAGCTTATTCACTTGGTATGTTATTTAAAAAACTTGTCATTTTGATATTTTACTTTCGAACAAAATCGCAACTCCAATGCTCTGTCCTTGTGTTGATGAAAAAAAACATTGATGCAAATGACACGGAAATTCTGGGACCCATAATGCATTAAGACGGTGGTGATATATTTTTGGGCAACTCGACTCTATTCCATAGATCTTTTATGTTTTTACTTGCTAAATAAGTCAAATGACCCAAGCAAATAATTATTGTAATAATAAATAAATTCACGAAAACCACATTAAAACAAACTTGATTCTTTTGAATGCCAAGTAATTTACCTTCTGTCATATGTGCTACATGACTATGTGACAGAACATTTGAATACTTTACAAGAGAATACATCGGGCACAACACAGAACATTAGAGTACATCATACCAGGGAATTATATCTGATATAATTCCCTGGTCATACCATACATTGCAATTTCACCAATTTTATTTCAAACAGCGCATTGCGTTTGCTACACAGATCATAGATAGACCAAGAAGTTATAAAGTTATGGTCTGGTCTGGTCTGGTCGATATTATACGTATTATATGCAGGCTTAATTTCAAGGAAAACGATCGATGACCAAGTCGGCAGAATCTCGACCATTGCTTTGGTAATGTATCAACATGCATGGTCGGTGCATATGCATGGAGTCGGTGCGATACTACATGTATATGATACAGATACAGATTCTTTATTGACAAACACCTTCACATAAAGGTACAATCAATTACAATACGATACTAGTGGCTAGAACATAGAACAGACAAATAAATAGATAAATAAATATATATATATATATATATACATATAGATTAGCAATTGTTGAAATCAGTGACTGTACACATGTATACGAATGTCGCATTCCATAATCAATTTACCAGGTTTGATCTACACGCCCAGTCTCTGCTGACAGCGCATAACGGGTCTCACACTGGTACTATGATCTGGTTTGGACATGCGCAGAAAGACTTACTCTCTTCTCCATGCATTTCTGTACAAATATATGTATGGTCCATCTGAATACCGGGTACTATCATATAAACACTCGTAACAAATGTAAGTGTTACTGACAATGCTGGATAATCCTGGCAATATTTCGATGACAAATTGGAAGATTTTTATTTCCTTGTTTTCCTCTCCGGTAACTACACACAGGGCCAAGAAACGACACAAAACAAAACAAAACCAAAAACATCAATATTGCCAAGTTTTAGAGGGGCTGCAGAGAGTTGCCAGCACGGACAAGAGCGCTATTGCCGGTGCATTGTGCACTTTTCATGAGAACCCTTGCGTTAACAGTTCTATATACGTTTTAGTACGTGTACTATATATGCTAAGTAGTAATGCACCAACGATTAAGGTCCGAAAGGTGAAGACATCTGTAAAATAGCGTTCAGCCTGTGCAGCTGGTACATCTGCCATGTGCCGAAGCTGTCAGATCTCTGTCTACCATCTCACCTCCTTTTGTTCACACTGCTGAAATGCCATTACCTATTTTACCCCGCGGACAGAGTTGTGAATAAGGTTTGAGTCACCCGTGGAAGACCGCTATGGGCGCCATTTCACTGTAATTAACCTACATCCATATTATTTGTTTTATATATGGACAGTATGGTACAGCGACGGTAGATATAAAAAACTAAAGGATAGGAGTGAATTTACCGAGTGCTACATATGTAACACAGGAATTTTCCTTCTATACTGGTATTAGAGAAGAAAGTTCACGTATTAGAATCTGGTTCTACCCTGTATATTGTTCTGGTTCAGATTTGAAGCTTATATGTTTCTGTGTTCCTGTGTCGGTGCTGTTTTAATTCACTGTTTTTTAATGTTCTCTTAATTCAAGCGGAGAGAGAGAGAGAGAGAGAGAGAGAGAGAGAGAGAACAAAAAACCAGCACAGTTACTAGCTTTTCGAGCTGAACCTCATCCCAAGTATATAGTTCCTATTCACGCTAAATAAAAACTGAATGTATATGCCAGCCTTTTAGGTTTCAAATTACTAGTGCATTTCTATACTGTTTGGCGTTCTTTAAAACATTTTTCTTTCCCCCTTCCCCATTTCCATCTCTCCTTTGAACTCTGGATTTGTTTAGTGAATATGTGAATAAAAGAACTTATGAGAGAAAATGGTGAATCTCTGCTGAAACATATTTAAGGGCGTGGCTTACGAATTCACCCAACGTCATGGCTAAACCCTAAACACGACAAAAATTACACATATAAATATCAATCATGCAGAATCAAAAGGTTTAAAACTTACTGTATCCGAGGCACACAGCGACCAGGAAACCCACGAGAACAATTCTGTTCGCCATTTTTGAATGCCTGCAGGTTTTGCGAGATCTAGAGACGTTCTTAATATAGCTCGTCCTTTCTGGGGTTCTACACTAAAATTATGCTTAGCGTTGACCGGGTTTCTGTAAACGCCAAGTACGGTGGCTCCTAAAGGTCTATGGTTTCCTATAATGGCAATTCTTAATATTCTATCCATCTTTTTTTCTCTCTTTTCTCAAAGTGATAAATCAGAGTGAGTGAGGGAGAGCGGGAGGGAGGGGGGAGGGATGGAGGGAGGTACTCAGTAGTAGGAATATCAGAGCTCAAAATAGTTGTTTCATCCTCAGAACATTGTGTTTCTGCAACAAAACATTCTCTGCTGATATCGCCTTCCATCGGCAAGGATTAACTCTAGGCTTCATCATGACAGCGCACTTGCTCACAGTTCTCGTCTGGCAAGTAATTTGATGCAGAAACACAGTGTTCTGAGGATGGGGCTACCATCCTAGAACCCTGATATTAAACCTACTGAGCACTTAGGACACAGATTGGAGTGTGCAGTACGGAGGAAAACCAATCCCCAAATAATATGTAACAACTCCACCAAGCTCTTTAGGAAGAATGGGACAATATCCTACAATACAGGATTGTTACCCTTGATAAAGGCTTGTCGCGATAATAGCAGTTCGCTTCTGACACACACACACACACACACACACACACACACACACACACATTTTCTATTAGACACGTGACCTTTATAGGGCTCATCTTTATGCTAATTGTGTGTAAATTTGGTATTTGGTAGCGTCTTTTTAATTTAAAAGGCATTGCTTTAACTCTGTGAAAATCACAGTAAAACATTGGATTTGAGAGGATACATGTTTAAATTTGAATAAATGGAATAAAATCTTTTCCGCTATTGGTATTTCCTGAGCCATAAATCATGTTAGACATGGTTTCTGAAATAAAAAGCACTGTTTATCAAAATTTACAACAGTGACGTGATCATTTCAATAACAGCACATGGAATTAGAGGTGAGGCAACCTTTTTGACCAATGTTGTATATACCTACATATATTTTCTTATCTATCTATAGATCGTTCGATCGATCAATTGATCAATTGATTTGCTGAATGTGAAACAGGCCCCATGCCCTTCCCTTCTGGCCACCAGTAGTTTCACATGCTACACACACTGGACAATAGAAGTGTCACCCCCTGAATCTGAGTAATCAAAGTTATAATGCCTGGTTTACTTATAATGTGACTAATGAGTATAAAACCGCTTCACCATGGAATTGTATTGTTGGTCTTTTTGTGAAATTTGATGTTAATAAAATGATACCAGGAGCATATCGTTCCACAGTCATTTATCTCCCCCAAAGTATTGGTTCAGTAGGGGTGACACTTCTATTGCCCAGTGTGTGTACAGCTATTGGGGGCCTCCTTAGATAAAAAAAAAAGTGAAAAGAAAAAACTACATGACTCATCACACGACCCAACGATGCCCCATGCTGCAAGACATAAGATGACGCAATATATATATATATATATACTGGTTGAACTAGCTAGAGGTGTCACCTCGAGCATGTAATCGATTTAAGAAAAATGAAAAACGAGTACGAATTCTGGACTAGCAGGTGGCAGAAACCGCCTTTTGGTTAACTAGCGACCTTCATCAGTTCCAGTTCAAAAAATGAAAATATAGGTGGGATGGAGGGGAGGTGATGTTTCACGTATATAACTTGACGCTAACTTGGTAGAAATAGTTTTTTTTTCTTCTCCACAAAAAATGTAAGAGTTCTCACAAGCACATAAGCGTCGAAGTTTAAGGGTACTGTAAGGGTTTATGATCATCCAGATACCAGAAATGAGGTTTTTCCTGCATGTAATTATCCAGTGATGCATCTAAAATATCGGGATTTATGTTTCCCGTTGCTAAGCATAAGCATAGGCATCTCAAAGCGTTTAAATCGTTAAATTAACACCTTTCTGTTTGGAGTAGAGATAGCAATCGGTATGGGGCGTAACTCCATCCCTGAACTAGATCTCATCACGAAAATTGACAAGTGTATGGGCTTCAGTTGTTTTTGTCATGGAGTTATGACCCCCTTATTGTAATGTACCGTTGAACAAAAGCTTTATTTTGCCTTTTTTACGATCTAAACTGAACTAAGACTTAAAAACAGGTACTCAGTGGTGTCATTAAATAGTCGTCAAAACGATAATCGTGGGTGCTCTGGTAAAGGAGAAATTTAAGCAACCGATTTTGCATTTTTACCCCAACAGCGTAATTTTGACGTAAATGGCCCTTAAACCGCCACGATGATCACACCATCAACGAACAAAACATGCCCTTGAAAAGCCCTTGACATGATTCATTCATTTTGTATTCCTGTTGATAAGTAATTATTCCCTAGATCACTGAGATCTATCAGTTCACGCAGGTTTTTATCCATTTCAACAGATCATATTTACAGGAAAAAATGAAAATAGAAAAATAAAAACCATTAAACACCGTGATTTGGCAATTTACAGTTATACTGGCACTTTTGGCACATTGTACAGTCTGTCTGGTTATCGCTGTCGGTAAAATGCACAGTATCAAATTGCGCATAGACAAGTGAAAAGGTGTCTCCTTCAAATTTACGAATTGTAAGTTATAATTTTACCCCGTGTAAGGTTGCAGGTAACAGCAAGAGCTGTTTTTTCCCCCCTCTTTTTGAACCGACTTTTGTCACTCCTAAATTGTGGTAAAGTGTCAGTACAATGCAAGTTATCGAGATGCTTGCCACTGGTAAGATCTAGGCGACAAAGATTAAGAAAGTGGGGGTATTTTGGGCAGACACAGTAGTCCGAGAAGTCGAAAACGTTCGAGAATACCGCCCCTGGTCACGTTCCCGTCACCCGAGTGTTTCTGCTTCGCCGGAGCACGTACCAACGCAACACATTTTGTTATATTATACTAACATATTGCTTTTCTTCCTTATTCTTATAATATTTTTCTTTTTAATATGTTTCAATTTTACTTAATATTTATTTTGATTTAATTAATTTATTTATCTTTCCATTCATTAACAAAAATATTTTATTCTAACCTCTCAAAGGGGTATGTGTAATTTAAGTGTATACACTTAACATTTTATAGCGTCTTTAAATAAAGTTTATTATTATTACACAATAGATAAAAAAAATGCTGGCATTCTGTTGTACATGTACATTCATAGAATCACTTGTTCAAGTTGAAACTTGGGCGTGTTCCTATTATATATATATATATATATATATATATATATATATATATATATATATATATATATATATATATATATATATATATATATATATATATATATATATGTTTAAAGGTATAATACCTGCCTTCGAATCTGTTCTAACTCGCATTTTCTATTTCTTCATATCCAGAAAAGCTACGCATCTGTCTCAATTCAGACCTTTAAAAACGATAAAATCCCTCAAATGTCAGAACATATGACGCTATTTCCTTCAAGGCAATATTGCATCGTTGTCTAACACCCCATTTCCATAGATTAGATCGACCTACTTTAGATCGACCTAACTCCCTGGGGGTTCACGCTAAATAGCTGTCAGCCGGGAGGACACGAAAGTTAATTACCCCCTTAGAGCTTGTAGTAGGCGGGACGGACATTTAAGTCGGATTATCTGAAAGTAATCTAGTGAGACTCCCCGCGGGGATAGATCGATCTAAAATCTATGGGAATAGAGCCTAAGTGACAGGCCACTCATTTATTTAATAACTAAATCACCTAATTGGAAATGGTATAAAACATCGATCCTCAAGTGCAAGAATAAGCTGAGAGTTTTCAAGGAAAATTCAATTTGGTGGGGAAAATACGGGATAGGATATCTTTATGTCCTCCATTATAAAACAAGGCACACCACGACTCCGATTGCATCAGTTGCGATTTTCGCAATATCTGTCAGACCATTCGCTGTACTGCGACAGAGAAATAAGAATTTGGAAATAAAACTATTGTGTGATGTTCATATGTAATGCCTAATCAAAATCAGGTAGAACAATGTGCTCAAAAACGATTCAACAATTTATTATACAAGTGCAAAGCAAGAGCTTTTCTTGATATCAATCTTCATGTTATCTTTCCCAAATACTCTAGTGTTTATTGTGCGGTGATAACATTTTCTTCACTGCTGACCGAGATAGAAAACGTTCCTTATCTGAAACTGCTAAACTTTTGGCTTACAAAGCAATAATGACAACCCAGTTATCCAACCAAAATGCATCTATTTCATCAACACTTGAAGCAACAGCAAAAATCCTGGGAAAACGGCTATTAATCTGTGCACAAGTCTCAAACATAAGAGTTGTTGTATCCGCAGACTGTCATTTCAGTAGTTTCAAAAATTCCCTCTGTTTTTTTGTCCTTGAGTAATATCAACCCACACACATGTTTGCTGTACAGTTAATTAGTGGTACTGTCCTAGACAACACACAGTTATTAATGATGGTGATCGTGATCTAAATAAAACCGCAGTCCGCAATAGTTGCAGGAGTGGTTACCGGGCTGATCCTGAAATAAGAAAATTATATGAAATTGGTTCTTCATGTTATATTAGTATATAAACATAAAAATCATGTAAGGACAAGAAACACAAGATAAAAGCACATTGTAATGCCATTCACACTTTACTCATAAAACTATGACAAAACTTTTATACTGTACTAACATACAAGTGCAATGCATATAAGACAATGTAATAGTTTGATACGCGTCATGACCCTTATACAATTAATTAATACAAGAAAAGGAAATAAAAGCCTGAACAGTGCTCATTGAAAATTATTAAAATATGTCCATGCGGGGCTAGCAAAAATGGGAATATTCAAATTAAAGCACAGTTTTTACACTCTCTTTCATCTCTAGCAGAAATATCATTTTTTCACATCTTTACCTCAAAATAATCTGTAGCGTTTGTTAGGACTTCTAGTGCAAGTTGGATTCTAGGTACTAGTCATGCTCTGAAAGGATACCACCATATTCTTACCAAGTTAATGTAAACTTTTGGATGTCCTAGGGGCCCTCCTCCTCCATCGCACGATACAACTCTATCCTTGCAGGCTTGGGGTGGGATTTCATCAATCAGATTAATTGCCCACTGCTTGTTAACCTGGTCAGAAAGTAAACATGAATGAAATAAAAGATAAGCCTATCCTAGTTGTTTGTAAGGAAGTTCTTTCTTGGCTTGGATGGATTGGGTAAAAGGACAAGATTTTTTTTTACACATTAACCTATAAGAAAAACATGGATATTATAAACAAATTATTTGCCTGTAAATTAGTATTGCATGGCATAGATTGTTGCACTGCTACTGTTTGCTGGTTTTAACACTTTGCTGACGACTTTGCTAGGCTTGTTATAAAATTTGTTTTCATGATGAATGTCTTCTAAACTGGTGTTAAATTAAGCTGAAATGAGCCACAAAAACGAAATTAATGATTCAGAGGATAAGTTATTACATTAACAACTATTATGTGTATTATCAGAGATTGGAAGATTTAGATTTTTTAAAATAAAAAGAAAAAAAAAACATCTCACTCAATAAATGTACCACTAACCTGTTTGTCTGCTACGAGATATCTTGACATCCTATAGTCATCTGCTTCCCATTTCTGGCAAAAAAATAAAAATGAAAAATGTGTACCTCATATAGTAAAAAATGTGCCGTCAGAAGATTTATTCCCTATATTGTATATTTTACATAATCATTGGCTAGAAATAAACATTTATTCATCTTCTGGAACTGGTAAATTCCCCCATTTCTTAATTTTTTTTCAGACTTAGAGAACAACACTGGATGGAGCAAATCAGCCAGTGTTCAAATATAACCAGTCAAGTGAAGCCAGGAGGAGGGAGGGGGGGGGGGCACTTCTGGAGAAGATGGATAAACTGACAACTAAGAAATGACCGATAGGCAACCTTTAAGATACCCATATTTTCATCGTCAGTTGTGCACACTGGTTGTGGGTGCACAAAAAATGGCCTTCATGTGTCAACGATCCCTTGCGACCTGTTAGCAACCTTATGTGACCACTTTAAAACCTATGGCAACCTCATTGCGACTGAGGTTGCGACAGGTTGTCAAATTTTGCGCACACAGTCAAGTCGTGCAGGTTTTTTTCCCCCGCCTACTAGTATAAAATGGTCCTTGGCATGTTACTGACTGTCTCAATGTCTCACTGTACAGTATGAGGTAGAAAACATAATTATGCCGAATGACTGTCAGGTTTGAAGTCCAGAAGTCTGTTGGCTTAACCTAAAGGTTACTTTTTTCTGACGGAGGTTAGTCAATTATGCTTAACATTGCTGGTAGTAAACTGTCAACCATTTTATAGAATAACACACTGGTAAGTCTTACAATGTACAAGTTGCTTTTCGTCTTACGACGAGAACAAACAAAATATTACCTGTCCTGTGTGTGTCACGACATCTTCTGGTTTCTTCAAATATTCTTCGACAACTGCTGGGTTAGTTGATGGTTTAGGATCAATTCTAGGTAAATTTGCTATAGCTGCTGGATTTGCTTTTGAACTTTTTCTAAATAAACCCCGAAAGATGATCTTCGTGTGCCGTAACGCCATCTTTGTAACCAGTTACACATGCGCAATATCTAATACTTCCGGTCAAACTGTTTCACTTTGGCTTGTTAATAAATTAAGGTAATTCTTAGAGAGACAGCCACTTTCCAGTTTATTGTGCAACCACATGGTAAGTCAAAGCAGCAAAACCATATGAATAGAAACATTTTCCGAATTATCTATTGTATTATTTGCTAGCACATGTTGCTGGCTTGTTCCCTTTTTGGCTGGTCACGAATGATCACGGTGTGAGTTTTGTCTCAAATTTACCTGCTACATTTTCTGTTAGTTATATAGATGGACAATGGGTAATTTGTACTGAAAACGAAAATGGGGGTGCTCGAGGCTGATAATTAGGGCTACAATTTTTTTAAAAATGCGACAGGAGGCAATGAGTAGGCCAGGTCACCACTCACACGGCCCTAAAAAAGAATTAAAAATCTAACTTTTGACGCCTTACAGTTCAAAAATGAAAAATAGTATTGATTGCTATTGACACTTGGCAAAAGTTGCCATGGAAATAATGGATAAATCCCAGAAAATTATATCTTGGCAGATTCCTCTTGGCATATACATGTAGCTATAGCCATAGTGTAACTGACCAGAAAATTTCAAATTGCATACAACAGTTTTTCAAAATTTTGTGGCGCACTTGCATTCTTGTAAATTTAATAACTTCTGATTGGCTTGCATGATTTTCAACACATGAAATGTTTTGTAAAGCTCATGAATTGTTGTGTCAGATAATATTAATTTGAATGATATCAGTGTTACTTCCAAAGTTGACCTGGGCTCCCTAAAATCACCCTGAGCTTCAGAGATAACTTGACACTAACCTCTTTACTATTAGCCTATCTTCATCGTGTCAAGTTACCTCTGACCACATTCGATTGCCTCCGCCGCCCGCCAATCAAATTTAAAGCCCGCACTCAATGACTCATTGAACGATCTAGCCAATGAACGCGAACGTGTCAAAGCGCGCTTTGTTCAAATCCGGACCAATCAAAGATAAGGCTGAATATCAGGGACTTGCCGTAACCTGTGGGCAGCACGCAAAATACATCATCCCTCAGTAGATAATTATGCAGGGCATCAAACTGCTCTGGTTTCAATTCCGATATACTCCATGCTTTCTTTGTGTACGGTTATGCACTCGGAACTACTCGGATGTCTCCGCACTCGACAATAACTATGTTGTTAGTATGGAGCTTGCGGAATCAGCCGAGGATTGCCGATTGATGATCAACCAATCAGCGTTTTCACCAAACTTTGGTGAAAAATTTTGAAACATGGATTCGATTGGCTTATATAAACTAGGTCAAACTATTTTCATCAGAGGTAACTTGACACGATGAAGATAGGCTAATAGTGAAGAGGTTAGTGTCAAGTTATCTCTGAAGCTCAGGGTGCCTAAAATGAGCTCATTCAGTATTTTTTCATGACACTTCACAGTTTGTTTATATACTATAAGGAAGTTAATTTGTCATTTAATTTTTCCACTCATTTGATTTCAGCTGCAGATGAAAAATGCTTGTTCCTCGATTTTTTAACTCTAGAAAGGTTACATCAGCACTTGGTACAGCACTGAGATATGCTTCATCAGTCCCAAGGTTCAACCCACAGCAATTCAGCGCAGGACAAGTGGGACTCCGTCCAGCATCTCAGTCTGCAAGGCATGACAGTGGTTTCTTCAAGTTCTTTCCTGGGCCTTTGACTTGGGCAGGGCAGACAAGGACTTTTTTCACAAATTTTCATGCTAAACATTATGTTTTGTCTCAGTCCGTGTTAAATGCTGAACAAACCTTCACTCCAAACCCTGTGCTTCAGAGAACTATCTCCAGAAATTTTACTGGATTATTAAATACTAGTATAACCAGTGGTCAAGGCACAAAAGTGACACGAGCTTTTACGCCAAGATCAACATTGTCATCAAATCTCCTAGCTGTTCACTCTGGGAGGTTGACCCAGGCGGCAAATTACAAGGTGAAGGTCTCTTTAAAACGGAGATGCAAAGATTGTTACTTCGTGAGGCGCCACGGGAGGCTGCAGGTGGACTGCCGTACGTTCACCAGACATAGACAAATGCAGAAAATGGCCAAATATAAGCTGATGTGGCACACAAGAGTCCCAAAATGATAGAAGTCACACAGTAATTAAAAAAATTTAATTTCAATATGTGGAATCTGTGAATTTTAGGCATTTGATTGAAATCACAGGAGTCATTATAAACTGAAAAATTGTCTAATTTCTTATCAAGCTCGACACTGGACTCGTGTAGGTAAAAGTTACTTGGCATATGTCAAAGAGGAATACTGCTAGTTCTGATAATAAATTGACAGCCATTTGTCTTGGTAAAAACAGCGCTTTACATGCAAATGCATTCTGTAACTTTCTTACCAAGATCTCTACACTTGAAATGGACTGGGGTGAAAATTGCATGCAAAAAATTGCCATGGTGTAATTGTAAGAATAAAAGAGGGTATTTTGCATGTAATTACAAGATGTTAATCTTCCAAGGCGGTTCTGGTTGAAACAAAGCCTCTACAGATGGCAAAATCGATTGTTTTCTGCCTTTTGTGTAATGGCGGTAAAATAAATAAATTGCCTTTTTATATTTTTTTACCTATGCCTCAAAAGTAGAAAAACCTGTTTAGTCTCTTTAAAAATTGTGCACTTTTATACCAACTTCCAAATTGATACAAATTTTGCAGGGCGACTGGCTGTCAAAACATTCATATGATTGTAAATAAATAAAGAATTTCAGTGTAAAATGTTTCTTTATTCATTTGACAAAATAAATATGGTACAAAACAGTTGTTTTTTGGGGCATCACATCAAAGTATCACCCATAATTAACTATTTCTGCAGCTTCCTAACACTGTATCTTAGTCCACAATGAAAGGCATGTATGACATTAAATTACTCCTATCTACATCAACAACCCTGACATTCAGACTGCTAAACTAACATAGAAACTTTGGTAGGCCTGGCTGTAAAGCTTAAATCAGGATTGTCAGTAATTTTTTAGTGCATTACTATTTATTGGGTAAAAAAAAACCTGTACTGTACAGCTTTCAAATACTTCAATAGGTACTACATACTCCTCGGCTGAGTTAGTGAAGAGCCTGTACCATACAGATAACCTGTACAACAGTGACTCTAGACTTGGTGACTAACAAAACAGTGCGCCAATATGACATTTACATGCTTTACAAATTCATTACATGATGAGTATGTATATATTTGCTTTCTCAAAAATTTATTGGTTAAGTACGGATAAAACATAAAAATACATATCTACGTAACAAAAATGGTTGTTAATACCAAAGAAAAATGTTATTCAACTTAAAATTAATGAAAGCACAACCTCAAATATCCCCAAGTTACATTTAGAAATAAAGCTTAAAAGTGACTAGAAGATGAACAAATTCAAAATGATGATTCATGTACTCAACATAAATTCACAGTTTTATGCTTAAAAATAAATTAACCTATAGTCTTCCACATTACGACAAATAATACAGGATCCACGGGATCATTCGAATTGATTCGTTCACTGGAATAACCAAGACAATGGAAACACCTTGATAAAATGCACATAACAAACAATGCTTCTAGTATGGGGGAAATAAAAACATTTTAAACTACCCCTTACTCTTCTGGGTATGTACTTATCTTCACATTAATAAATTTTAAAATAATAAACAAAAACACTAACATCACACAAGAAGAAGAAGAAAAAAACAATGATAGGTTGAAATAAAGATGGAATAATATATCTGAATTTGATGTAAAAGTAAGGCAATGGCTAAATCTTTTCAATGAGAAAAATGTGATTTTTTTTACAGATGATATATTTTGTTTAAATCAAAATTCCTAAAATTAGAACATTTCTATTGAGAGGTAGCATCAGAATTGAAAACCAGGCTACCTTATCGTTCTATTCTACACAGAAAAAGCACCACAAGTGCAATAAAGAAATATATTTCCATTCCAAAATAATGCACCTGGAAGATGGACATTTCTCCCCATTTAAAAGATCCGAGTCATAACCATAAATAATGAGGGTGATCACAAACTTGAATGCGGTCAAGGGGCACCATCACGAAGTGCTGGACAACACAAGGAAACCTATTCGCAGTGGTCAACATCAGCCTGAATACCTGTATTATACTTACATCCTGGAATGACGGGGGAATTAGTGCTCTATTTACAAATGACATCTTGTAAAATTTCTATAATTACAAATATTGCTTAATTAACAACATTCCAAATGAGTTCTCTTTACCAAAATGCATCACTCTTCCAAGATCCTGCTGGTTGTATTCTTTCATAAATACTAATTTGCCTCCACGAGCACAAAAATGAAATATGAAATTCTTTTTGCCTTGATGAACATTCCTACACAATACTAGTGATATGTACACATGAATACTTCAGTATCATTGCAGATCAGAGCAGCCCAGTATAGAATGAATAGAAAAGAAAGTCTGTAAATCTAATGTCCATGAAATACCTCAATGAGAATTGACAGAACATGTCTTGAGCAAACTTCCAATGACAATGACAAATTTTGTAAAAAAATGCTGTATAAATTTAGGAATCGATATTACACCTTCCACTGGCTGGCTGAAATAACGCGAGGATTTTATGAATGACCTTCTGCACATGAAAACAAAATCAATATTGAGTGCAGTTTGAGCCTCAAATACTGAATTAAAGATAGACCTGTTTGGTCTCAGAAGTCCTTCCTTCAAGTCAACCTCATCAAATGTGTTCCCATTCAAGCTAGTAGACAGTATATGACTGAAAACCTTCAAACTATGGCTAAATATTAGTCTGCTTTTGACAATAGTGTCACATAATAAAAAAAAAAAAAAACTGCTATATTATTGCATGTAACACAGTGTTTTCTGCAGTCAGTGTGGCTGTGCTAAGTGCCCTATGGTGACTGATTGGAGATAGATGGCGTAGTTGCTACCTAGAATAACACGGATGATCTTGAGTATCAGCTGAATTCCAAGAGCTCTGAGATCTTGAGAAACTCTGTCCAGATATTACAAAAAACTGAGCAGTCTCCTGAGACCCAGATCCCTCGGTCTCTGAACAAAGATCCCTGAGATGGTGAGTATTGTGAAATGGTGGCACATGTGCAGCAAAGTTGCGACTCCTGCTCATTGCTTGACCTGCATATATGACAGGAAATGTGAAGCCTCGATCTTAAGAACATTTGCAACTTCAACATGGCTTTGGAACAGGGGCGTGTTCTTCTGTGCTGCACTTCCCTTCCTTTGGCTGTTGTCTTCTGCATGTTCTAGAAGTTCTGCTACCTTGGAGCCGGAGCCTCAGTATGGGAGAGATCTTGGCGTGAGGTAAGTTCTCGCACTTTGTCTGACCAGTACTCACTGCTCTGCTGTAGCTGCAGTGAAAGCTGAAGGAAAAAAAAAAAAACATAAAAAATATTAACTTTGGAAAAGATGAGAAGGAAAACATAGCCGTGGTCTTCTGTTCCTTGTTTATATCTACTAATAAGCAACACAAGCTGAATGAATTTAGCCTCTGCAAAAAAAAAAAAAAATTTGCTGACACATATTTATGCAGAAGTCAATTTTTATATTTTGGGGTCATTTCAATTTTCCAAATGCCATGGATCCATTGTATGTCAAACTTTTTATAAACAAAAGAAAAAAATCTAACAATGAGGGCCTCAATGAGTACAAGTACAGGGTTGAATTACGAATTGCGTGTCCTCAAGCAATCTGCAGTGTCATCCGCTGTCCCCATGTCCAATGCTAGTAAAAATAAAGCCAGCTCAGTATAATTTTCTAATATTTTTTCAGTTACCAGTCACTATTTTTGCTTTGGGCAAAGAGATTCTCACACTTTGGTGTCTCGAAAGTCCAGCAGGCTTAAGAATTTTAGTCACAGACTGTTTATATGGTCTACATCTCCTACCTCTCCTACTCTATTAATCCAATAGGATTTGTCTAAAGTGTGAGGGTCACTATGTCCAGTGCGGTGGTCACTACGTCCTATGTGGTGGTCATTTCGTCCAGTGTATTCTATTGTTCTACTCAGTGCACTTCTATCTCTACTTGGCTGCAGAAAATGAAAAGAAAACAATGGCTACAAAAACAGTTTTTTAAACAACAACAACATCAATAATAATAAAATTAATATAACTTAAAAATATTAAATTTATTTCAATTGAATTCCACTAACACATTATCAATGTGCTCAATTCTTTTAAAACAATTTTCAAAAATAAATAAATAAATAAATAAATAAATAAATAAATAAATAAAAATTCAACAGTTTAAAACAGTCTGCCAAATTATTTCTATCATTCAGATTACAGTGCCTATCCTTCAAACTCCTCCATGGACACGCAACACCACTGACAGTAAAGTAAAACCCCACATACCCTATCTACATGTACTGCTGAGCTGCTGTCTCTGTCTAGCTGTGAATGGGAAACATAGGCTGAATCAGACAGACTGATAGGCTCCTGTGGAAAGAGAAAAAACAAAAGAGAGTTAAGTATCGTATCCCCAGTATGGTACTGCACACAGCTAGTTCTAGTGTAAGCATCTCTACAACTGTAGCACGGAATCTAAGGCATTTTGGGCATCACTAGACTAGCCTGAGATTAGCCCTCTAGCATGGGTGAGTGGGAGGGAATGTAGAGTCAAAGGAAGAGAAATTGTTTTGCCTCCTTGATGTTGTGGATTTGTCAGCTCAGCATCCTGGTGTTCTCTGCGTTACTTCAGCAGCATTACCCCAGACACAAAGCATTATACCAATACAGGCAGGGCCGTAGCCTCTGGGGGGGGCAGCTGCCCCCCCCTGGGATTTGAGGTGCAAAAAAAAAATAATCGCAAAGGTAAAAAATAAATTCTGATTGAGCAATAAATAACAGTTAAAATGCACCAGAATGCAGTATTATACATACAGTTTAAAATTTTTTTCCACACCCTCCCCCCTTGGGGGCTTNTAAAAATAGAAAAATAAAAACCATTAAACACCGTGATTTGGCAATTTACAGTTATACTGGCACTTTTGGCACATTGTACAGTCTGTCTGGTTATCGCTGTCGGTTAAATGCACAGTATCAAATTGCGCATAGACTAGTGAAAAGGTGTCTCCTTCCAATTTACGAGTTGTAAGTTATAATTTTACCCCGTGTAAGGTTGCAGGTAACAGCAAGAGCTGTTTTTTCCCCTCTTTTTGAACCGACTTTTGTCACTCCTAAATTGTGGTAAAGTGTCAGTACAATGCAAGTTATCGAGATGCTTGCCACTGGTAAGATCTATGCGACAAAGATTAAGAAAGTGGGGGTATTTTGGGCAGACACAGTAGTCCGAGAAGTCGAAAACGATCGAGAATACCGCCCCTGGTCACGTTCCCGTCACCCGAGTGTTTCTGCTTCGCCGGAGCACGTACCAACGCAACACATTTTGTTATATTTTACTAACATATTGCTTTTCTTCTTTATTCTTATAATATTTTTCTTTTTAATATGTTTCAATTTTACTTCATATTTATTTTGATTTAATTAATTTATCCATCTTTATATATATGTTTAAAGGTATAATACCTGCCTTTGAATCTGTTCTAACTCTGCGTAGCTTTTCTATTTCTTCATATTCAGAAAAGCTACGCATCTTTCTCAATTCAGACCTTTAAAAACGATAAAATCCCTCAAATGTCAGAACATAATGACGCTATTTCCTTCAAGGCAATATTGCATCGTTGTCTAAGTGACAGACCACTCATTTATTTAATAACTAAATCATCTAATTGGAAATGGAATAAAACATCGATCCCCAAGTGCAAAAAATGAGTTTTCAAGGAAAATTCAATTTGGTGGGGAAAATACGGGATAGGATACCTTCAAGCTGAAACCCGTTGAGATTACTTGTCAGCCCAAAATACAGGTCAAGCTCATAACTAGATATGGTTCAGTTGTTCCTTACATTTTCCGATGTTTAATTTCAGTAATTGTGGCCTTGTTCAATATTCGATGACCTTATATATTTCTAAAACTGGAGATGATACGCTCATAGTAAGTTACTAGCCTGTACCGCCGACACGGCAGTGTTACTGATGTAACCAGGCTTCTCGAGTTTTTTTGTTCTTTCTGACACCAAAATAACATTCTTTATAATTATCTTAATAATTTTGCATCACACTATTTGACCACTGATTCAATATCACGCCTGTAATACTGTATCACTAGCAAACTTTATAATAAAAGTAGGCCCGTTGTAATGGTGACACACGAAACTCGAGGGCTGTGAAAAAGAAAAAAAAAAAAAAGGTACCATAAATAAAACCTCTCATTTTAAAACACGCTTTGGTCACGAAGTGGTAATATACTATGGAGTATCTCAACGTGCGTCTTTTTATGCTTAACTTACCTCGGAGAATTTGCGACATCTTTTTTTTTATGTCCTCTATTATAAAACAAGGCACACCACGACTCCGATTGCATCAGTTGCGATTTTGGCAATATCTGTCAGACCAATCGCTGTACTGCGACAGAGAAATAAAAATTTGGAAATAAAACTAGTGTTTGATGTTCATAAGTAATGCCTAATCAAAATCACAAAATCAAGTAGAACAATGTGATCAAAAACGATTCAACAATTTATTATACAAGTGCAAAGCAAGAGCTTTTCTTGATATCAATCTTCATGTTATCTTTCCAAAATACTCTAGTGTTTATTGTGTGGTGCTAACATTTTCTCTACTGTTGACCGAGATCCAAAACGTTCCTTATCTGAAACTGCTAAACTTTTGGCTTACAAAGCAATAATGACAACCCAGTTATCCAACCAAAATGCATCTATTTCATCAACACTTGAAGCAACAGCAAAAATCCTGGGAAAACGGCTATTAATCTGTGCACATGCTATCAAGTCTCACACATAAGAGTTGTATCCGCAGACTGTCATTTCAGTAGTTTCAAAAATTCCCTCTGTTTTTTTGTCCTTGTGTAATATCAACCCACACACATGTTTGCTGTACAGTTAATTAGTGGTACTGTCCTAGACAACACACAGTTATTAATGATGGTGATCGTGATCTAAATAAAACCGCAGTCCGCAATAGTTGCAAGAGTGGTTACCGGGCTGATCCTGAAATAAGAAAATTATATAAAATTGGTTCTTCATGTTATATTAGTATATAAACATAAAAATCATGTAAGGACAAGAAACACAAGAAAAAAGGACATGGGTAATGCCATTCACACTTTACTCATAAAACTATGACAAAACTTTTATACTGTACAAACATACAAGTGCAATGTATATAAGACAATGTAATAGTTTGATACGCGTCATATGACCCTTATACAATTAATTAATACATGAAAAGGAAATAAAAGCCTGAATAGTGCTTGTTGAAAATTATTAAAATATGTCCATGCGGGGCTATCAAAAATGGGAATATTCAAATTAAAGCACAGCTTTTACACTCTCTTTCATCTTTTGCAGAAATATCATTTTTTCACATCTTTACCTCAAAAAAATCTGTAGCGTTTGTTAGGACTTCTAGTGCAAGTTGGATTCTAGGTACTAGTCATGCTCTGCAAGGATACCACCATATTCTTACCAAGTTAATGTAAACTTTTGGATGTCCTAGGGGCCCTCCTCCTCCATCGCACGATACAACTCTATCTTTGCAAGCTTGGGGTGGGATTTCATCAATCAGATTAATTGCCCACTGCTTGTTAACCTGGTCAGAAAGTAAACATGAATGAAATAAATGACAAGCCTATCCTAGTTGTTTGTAAGGAAGTTCTTTCTTGGCTTGGATGGATTGGGTAAAAGGACAAGGTTTTTTTTACACATTAACCTATAAGAAAAACATGGATGTTATAAACAAATTATTTGCCTGTAAATTAGTATTACATGGCATAGATTGTTGCACTGCTACTGTTTGCTGGTTTTAACACTTTGCTGACGACTTTGCTAGGCTTGTTATAAAATTTGTTTTCATGATGAATGTCTTCTAAACTGGTGTTAAATTAAGCTGAAATGAGCCACAAAAACGAAATTAATGATTCAAAAGATAAGTTATTACATTAACAACTATTATGTGTATTATCAGAGATTGGAAGATTTAGATTTTTTAAAATAAAAAGAAAAGAAAAAAAAGAACATCTCACTCAATAAATGCACCACTAACCTGTTTGTCTGCTACGAGATATCTCGACATCCTATAGTCATCTGCTTCCCATTTCTGGCATGAAAATAAAAAATAAAAAATGTGTACCTCATATAGTAAAAAATGTGCCGTCAGAAGATTTATTCCCTATATTGCATATTTTTCATAATCATTGGCTAGAAATAAACATTTATTCATCTTCTGGAACTGGTAAATTCCCCCATTTCTTAATTTTTTTTCAGACTTAAAGAACAACACTGGATGGAGCAAATCAGCCAGTGTTCAAATATAACCAGTCAAGTGAAGCCAGGAGGAGGGGGGAGGGGGGGGGCACTTCTGGAGAAGAAGGATAAACTGACAACCAAGAAATGACCGATAGGCAACCTTTAGGATACCCATATTTCTATCTTCAGTTCCACTGGTTGTCGGTGCACAAAAAAATGGCCTTCATGTGTCATCGATCCCTTGCGACCTGTTAGCAACCTTATGTGACCACTTTAAAACCTATGGCAACCTCATTGCGACTGAGGTTGCCACAGATTGTCAAATTTTGCGCACACAGTCAAGTCGTGCATGTTTTTCCTCCCCGCCTACTAGTATAAAAGTCCTTGGCATGTTACTGACTGTCTCAATGTCTCACTGTATGAGGTAGAAAACATATTATTATGCCGAATGACTGTCAGGTTTGAAGTCTCAGAGGTCTGTTGGCTTTTTTTCTGACGGAGGTAAGTCAATTATGCTTAACAATGCTGGTAGTAAACTGTCAACCATTTTATAGAATAACACACTGGTAAGTCTTACAATGTACAAGTTGCTTTTCGTCTTACGACGAGAACAAACAAAATATTACCTGTCCTGTGTGTGTTACGACATCTTCTGGTTTCTTCAAATATTCTTCGACAACTGCTGGGTTAGTTGATGGTTTAGGATCAATTCTAGGTAAATTTGCTATAGCTGCTGGATTTGCTTTTGAACTTTTTCTAAATAAACCCCGAAAGATGATCTTCGTGTGCCGTAACGCCATCTTTAAAACTAGTTACACATGCGCAATATCTAATACTTCCGGTCGAACTGTTTCACTTTGGCTTGTGTTAATAAATTAAGGTAATTCTTAGAGAGACAGCCACTTTCCAGTTTATTGTGCAACCACAAGGTAAGTCAAAGCTGCAAAACCATATGAATAGAAACATTTTCCGAATTATCTATTGTATTATTTGCTAGCACATGTTGCTGGCTTGTTCCCCTTTTGGCTGGTCACGAATGATCATGGTCTGAGTTTTGTCTCAAATTTTCCTGCTACTTTTTATTCTGTTAGTTATATAGATGGACAATGGGTAATTTGTACTGAAAACGAAAATAGGGGTGCTCGAGGCTGATAATTAGGGCTACAATTTTTTTAAAAATGCGACAGGAGACAAAATGAGTAGGCCAGGTCACGCCACTCACACAGCCCTAAAAAAAGAAAAAAAATCTAACTTTTGAAGCCTTACAGTTGAAAAATAGAAAATAGTATTGATTACTATTGACATTTGGCAAAAGTTGCCATGGAAATAATGGATAAATCCCAGAAAATTATATCTTGGCAGATTCCTCTCGGGATATAGCTATAGCCATAGTGTAACTGACCAGAAAATTTCAAATTGCATACAACACAAAATTTTGTGGCCGACTTGCATTCTTGTAAATTTAATAACTTCTGATTAGCTTGCATGATTTTCAACACTTAAAATGTTTTGTAAAGCTCATAATTTTTCTGTCAGATAATATTAATTTGAATGATATCAGTGTTACTTCCAAAGTTGACCTGACCTCCCTAAAATGAGCTCATTCAGTATTTTTTCATGACATTTGTTTGACAGTTTGTTTTTACTATAAGGAAGTTAATTTGTCATTTAATTTTTCCACTCATTTGATTTCAGCTGCAGATGAAAAATGCTTGTTCCTCGATTTTTTAACTCTAGAAAGGTTACATCAGCACTTGGTACAGCACTGAGATATGCTTCATCGGTCGCAAGGTTCACCCCACAGCAATTTGGCGCAGTACAAGTAGGACTCCGTCCAGCATCTCAGACTGCAAGGCATGACAGTGGTTTCCTCAAGTTCTTTCCTGGGCCTTTGACTTTGGCAGGGCAGACAAGGACTTTTTTCACAAATTTTCATGCTAAATATTATGTTTTGTCTCAGTCCGTGTTAAATGCTGAACAAACCTTCACTCCAAACCCTGTGCTTCAGAGAACTATCTCCAGAAATATTACTGGATTATTAAATACTAGTATAACCAGTGGTCAAGGCACAAAAGTGACACGAGCTTTTTCGCCGAAATCAACATTGTCATCAAATCTCCTAGCTGTTCACTCTGGGAGGTTGACCCAGGCGGCAAATTACAAGGTGAAGGTCTCTTTAAAACGGAGATGCAAAGATTGTTACTTCGTGAGGCGCCACGGGAGGCTGCAGGTGGACTGCCGTACGTTCACCAGACATAGACAAATGCAGAAAATGGCCAAATATAAGCTGATGTGGCACACAAGAGTCCCAAAATGATAGAAGTCACACGGTAATTAAAAAAAAAATTAATTTCAGTATGTGGAATCTGGGAATTTTAGGCATTTGATTGAAATCACAGGAGCCATTATAAACTGAAAAATTGTCTAATTTCCTGTCAAGCTCGACACTGGACTCGTGTAGGTAAAAGTTACTTGGCATATGTCAAAGAGGAATACTGCTAGTTCTGATAATAAATTGACAGCCATTTGTCTTGGTAAAAACAGCGTTTTACATGCAAATGCATTCTGTAACTTTCTTACCAAGATCTCTACACTTGAAATGGACTGGGGTGAAAATTGCATGCAAAAAATGCCATGGTGTAATTGTGAGAATAAAAGAGGGTATTTTGCATGTAATTACAAGATGATAATCTTCCAAGACGGTTCTGGTTGAAACAAAGCCTCTACAGATGGCAAAATCGATTGTTTTCTGCCTTTTGTGTAATGGCGGTAAAATAAGTAAATTGCCTTTTTATATTTTTTTACCTATGCCTCAAAAGTAGAAAAACCTGTTTAGTATCTTTAAAAATTATGCACTTTTATACCGACTTCCAAATTGACACAAATTTTGCAGGGTGACTGGCTGTCAAAACATTCATATGATTGTAAATAAATAAAGAATTTCAGTGTAAAATGTTTATTTATTTGACAAAATAAATATGGTACAAAACAGTTGTTTTTTGGGGCATCACATCAAAGTATCACCCATAATTAACTATTTATGCAGCTTCCCAACACTGCATCTTAGTCCACAATGAAAGGCATGTATGACATTAAATTACTCCTATCTACATCAACAACCCTGACATTCAGACTGCTAAACTAACATAGAAACTTTGGTAGGCCTGGCTGTAAAGCTTAAATCAGGATTGTCAGTAATTTTTTAGTGCATTACCATTTATTGGGTAAAAAAAAAACCTGTACTGTACAGCTTTCAAATACTTCAATAGGTACTACATACTCCTCGGCTGAGTTAGTGAAGAGCCTGTACCATACAGATAACCTGTACAACAGTGACTCTAGACTTGGTGACTAACAAAACAGTGCGCCAATATGACATTTACATGCTTTACAAATTCATTACATGATGAGTATGTATATATTTGCTTTCTCAAAAATTTATTGGTTAAGTACGGATAAAACATAAAAATACATATCTACGTAACAAAAATGGTTGTTAATACCAAAGAAAAATGTTATTCAACTTAAAATTAATGAAAGCACAACCTCAAATATCCCCAAGTTACATTTAGAAATAAAGCTTAAAAGTGACTAGAAGATGAACAAATTCAAAATGATGATTCATGTACTCAACATAAATTCACAGTTTTATGCTTAAAAATAAATTAACCTACAGTCTTCCACATTACGACAAATAATACAGGATCCACGGGATCATTCGAACTGATTCGTTCACTGGAATAACCAAAACAATGGACGGAAACACCTTGATAAAATGCACATAACAAACAATGCTTCTAGTATGGGGGAAATAAAAACATTTTGAACTACCCCTTACTCTTCTGGGTATGTACTTATCTTCACATTAATAAATTTTAAAATAATAAACAAAAACACTAACATCACACAAGAAGAAGAAGAAAAAAAACAATGATAGGTTGAAATAAAGATGGAATAATATATCTGAATTTGATGTAAAAGTAAGGCAATGGCTAAATCTTTTCAATGAGAAAAATGTAATTTTTTTTTACAGATGATGTATTTTGTTTCATTTTGTTTAAATCAAAATTCCTAAAATTAGAACATTTCTATTGAGAGGTAGCATCAGAATTGAAAACCAGGCTACCTTATCGTTCTATTCTACACAGAAAAAGCACCACAAGTGCAATAAAGAAATATATTTCCATTCCAAAATAATGCACCTGGAAGATGGACATTTCTCCCCATTTAAAAGATCCGAGTCATAACCATAAATAATGAGGGTGATCACAAACTTGAATGCGGTCAAGGGGCACCATCTTGAAGTGCTGGACAACACCAGGAAGCCTATTCACAGTGGTCAACATCAGCCTGAATACCTGTATTATACTTACATCCTGGAATGACGGGGGAATTAGTGCTCTATTTACAAATGACATCTTGTAAAATTTCTATAATTACAAATATTGCTTAATTAACAACATTCCAAATGAGTTCTCTTTACCAAAATGCATCACTCTTCCAAGATCCTGCTGGTTGTATTCTTTCATAAATACTAATTTGCCTCCACCAGCACAAAAATGAAATATGAAATTCTTTTTGCCTTGATGAACATTTCTACACACTACTAGTGATATGTACACATGAATACTTCAGTATCATTGCAGATCAGAGCAGCCCAGTATAGAATGAATAGAAAAGAAAGTCTGTAAATCTAATGTCCATGAAATACCTCAATGAGAATTGACAGAACATGTCTTGAGCAAACTTCCAATGACAATGACAAATTTTGTGAAAAAATGCTGTATAAATGGAGGAATCGATATTTCACCTTCCACTGGCTGGCTGAAATAACGCGAGAATTTATGAATGACGTTCTGCACATAAAAGGCTTTCATATACGATGAAAACAAAATCAATATTGAGTGCAGTTTTGAGCCTCAAATTTGGAACCCAAGATAGTCCCATGTGGTCTCACAAGTCCTTCCTTCAAGTCAACCTCATCAAATGTGTTCCCATTCAAGCTAGTAGACAGTATACGACTGACAACCTTCAAACTATGGCTAAATATTAGTCTGCTTTTGACAATAGTGTCACATTAAAAAAAAAAAAAAAAAACTGCTATATTATTGCATGTAACACAGTGTTTTCTGCAGTCAGTGTGGCTGTGCTAAGTGCCCTATGGTGACTGATTGGAGATAGATGGCGCTGTTGCTACCTAGAATAACACTGATGATCTTGAGTATCAGCTGAATTCCAAGAGCTCTGAGATCTTGAGAAACTCTGTCCAGATATTACAAAAAACTGAGCAGTCTCCTGAGACCCAGATCCCTCTGTCTCTGAACAAAGATCCCTGAGATGGTGAGTATTGTGAAATGGTGGCACATGTGCAGCAAAGTTGCGACTCCTGCTCACTGCTTGACCTGCATATATGACAGGAAATGTGAAGCCTTGATCTTAAGAACATTTGCAACTTCAACATGGCTTTGGAACAGGGGCGTGTTCTTCTGTGATGCACTTCCCTTCCTTTGGCCGTTGTCTTCTGCGTGTTCTAGAAGTTCTGCTACCTGGGAGCCGGAGCCTCAGTATGGGAGAGATCTTGGCGTGAGGTAAGTTCCCGCACTTTGTCTGACCAGTACTCACTGCTCTGCTGTAGCTGCAGTGAAAGCTGAAGGAAAAAAAAAACATAAAAAATATTAACTTTTGAAAAGATGAGAAGGAAAACATAGCCGTGGTCTTCTGTTCCTTGTTCATATCTACTAAGCAACACGAGCTGAATGAATTTAGCCTCTGCAAAAAAAATGTCTGGTTTCTAATTGCTGACACATATTTATGCAAAAGTCAATTTTTATATCTTGGGGTCTTCTTAATTTTCCAAATGCCATGGATCCATTGTGTATCAACTTTTTATAAACAAAAGAAAAACATCTAACAATAAAGGCCTCAATGAGTGCATGTACGGGGTTACGCACATGTATTACGAATTGTGCGTTCTCAAGCAATCTGCAGTGTCATCCGCTGTCCCCATGTCCAATGCTAGTAAAAATAAAGCCAGCTCAGTATAATTTTCTAATATTTTTTCAGTTACCAGTCACTATTTTTGCTTTGGGCAGAGATTCTCACACTTTGGTGTCTCGAAAGTCCAGCAGGCTTAAGAATTTTAGTCACAGACTGTTTATATGGTCTACATCCCCTACCTCTCCTACTCTATTAATCCAATAGGATTTGTCTAAAGTGTGAGGGTCACTATGTCCAGTGCGGTGGTCACTACGTCCTATGAGGTGGTCATTTCGTCCAGTGTATTCTATTGTTCTACTCAGTGCACTTCTATCTCTACTTGGCTGCAGAAAATGAAAAGAAAACAATGGCTACAAAATCAGTTTTTTAAACAACAATAACATCAATAATAATAAAATTAATAGAACTAAAAAATATCAAATTTATTTCAATTGAATTCCACTAATGCATAATCAATGTGCTCAATTCTTTTAAAACAATTTTCAAAAATAAATAAATATTCAACAGTTTAAAACAGTCTGCCAAATTATTTTTATCATTCAGATTACAGTGCCCATCCTTCAATGTGAAACTCCTCTATGGACATGCAACACCACTGACAGAGTAAAGCAAACCCCACATACCCTATCTACATGTACTGCCGAGCTGCTGTCTCTGTCTAGCTGTGAATGGGAAACATAGGCTGAATCAGACAGACTGATAGGCTCCTGTGGAAAGAGAAAAAACAAATGAGAGTTAAGTATCGTATCCGCAGTACGGTACTGCACACAGCTAGTTCTAGTGCAAGCATCTCTACAACTGTAGCATGGAATCTAAGGCATTTGGGCATCACTAGACTAGCCTGAGATTAGCCCTCTAGCATGGGTGGGTGGGAGGGAATGTAGAGTCAAGGGAAGAGAAATTGTTTTGCCTCCTTGATGTTGTGGATTTGTCAGCTCAGCATCCTGGTGTTCTTTGCGTTACTTCAGCAGCATTACACCAGATACAAAGCATTATACCAATACAGGGGTAAGTGTGCATTGAAGTCCAATAAGTTCTGTGTGACACTGAACATGCATTATTACACGGTATGTGAGAGACACAACATACAGTGTGACACTGAACATGCATTATTACACTATATTAAGAGACACAACATGAACTTAAATAAGACAAACTAAACCCACAACACAAATATCAGTTAAGTGGTCAAAGTAAAACAAAGGTTATACAAAATTCTGTTAATTTATACTCAATTAAACTTACACACATCTAAACTGACTTAAATTTTAGTTGTGTTTAAACAGTAAATGTAATACAAACATGTTACTTCCAAAGTGTGTCTGTTATACTCATATTTAAACACAAGACATTCAATCCACACATCAATAAACTTCATCATCATGCTGTAAGTATAAATGTTAAAAGGTCATCATATGTTGTCAAATAACTGGCAACAAGAAGCCAAAGCTGGCCAAAAGTTTCTCATCTCATAGCTGCATTTCTATGCAACATCTACACTGCACTCTCTATCATAACATAACATAACAACTACAAGCACCCTGCACTGCACTTCTACATGCCAAACACACCCGAACCGTGTGTCATGCACCTTCGTGAGTAAAGTACCAAATAATTACCTACACGAGGTCTATCAAGGTCGCGCACACGAGGAGACCTGGGTGTGCGCGACAGACTGTGATCTAAAGAAGCCATGTGACGCGTGTCTAATTGTGCTCGAAGGCTGAGGATGGTCTGTTCTTTGCTCTCCACCTGAAGTTGTAGAGTTTGTCGCGCTGCGATCTCCCTCTCGAGATCTGCGCGCACACGCATGTTTTCTTTTTGCACGACGTTGAGCTGCTGGTTGAGCTGTTGCACGTTGTCTACATTGGCACGAAGGCGGTTGTGGAGATCTTCAATTGTGGCTATCTTTTGTTGAATTTCTGAGTCTTGGTCATTTCTGAAAATTAATGTCATCGTTTTTAATTTAAAAAATCATCTCATTTTTTAAGTCAACCTATCAGTTTCTGTCTGGTTGTTAAAACAGGTAAGTAACAGGAGTTAAGATTTTTTCTAAAAAAAATGATGGATAAACCTTATGAACAAATAGTATTTATTTCCATTTTTTCCTCTAGAAATGTAACAGAAAACACTGACAATTTTCATATGTGAAAACTGCAGTACATGTTACGTGAGAATTTGATTTCAAAGCAGCCTACTCATGTTCTTCCAGTCTGCTCCTGAGCTGGTGCAGCAGGGCCTGCTGGTGAGAGGAATGAGACTGGAGGGCCTGCAAAGGTCAAGGTCAAACAGATAGGTCAGGGTTAATATGGATCAAGGTCTATAAAAAGTCATGGTGAGTACATCAAGTTATTTTTCATGATCAAAGCATGAGTTTCAAACAGAAGAATAAAAGTCTAGTGTTCTTCTAAGTGATAAAAAAAAAAAAAAAAACATGCAAGGCTATTATCCTGTTTTTATACACCCTACTTTCTGACTTACAGCTGTACATTTCCTTAACATGTTACAAATTTCATCTCAATTCTAGATTGTGAAAGTCATTTTGGTTAATTGCAAATATTTTATTTCAAAAATCTTGAAGATCCCCATGTCCCAGTTTGGTCCCTTACCTTCCACTTGTCATAGTCCACCCTTTTCTGGTCCATCTCCCTCCTGATGCTTTCATTCTGTCTCTGCAGAGTCTGGAGCTGCTCCTGGAGGTGACTGCAATGACCACAGGGTAAGCTCAGGAATACATTGTGAATCATTTTACATTAAACTTGGTGTTTTGGTAAAAGACATGATTTTGGTTGTGAGAAAAAAAGCAAGAAGAAACTGCTCAGTAGCTTTATGACAGGGGGTCTGGGGGTGCTTAAGGCCAAGATAAAATCAGAATTCCAATTTAAATCAGAAAAAAACACATCTGTGATAATTGTATAGCGTAAAATAAAATAAAATAAAAAAAACAATACCATAACAGTTACAAAGTAGGGTAAATTTTGTTTATCGAATTCCAGTACTAAGTTTTGTATCATATGCATGTATCATGATATATTACAACAATTCAAAACTGAACTAAAAAAAAAATGGTTACTCACTCTTTTTCTGCTGATAAGTTCACCAGAGCTTTGCTTTGTTCCCTGCAAAATATACATGTCATGGAAGGCATAAATGTCTAAATACACTTGCTGACTCATAACACAGAATATATTTTGCCTGTATATGGCATACTTTACATTTATACATCATAAATTTTCCATATATTATTAAATTGACTAGTTTCCCCAAGGCTTGACACAAAAAAGTCTCCAGCAGAGGGCTTGTAGTCTGTACCACAAAAGAATGAAAAGTTTTCTTTCCTATGAAGATCTATTAAATTAATCACTTTCAAAGCAGTCATAAGTTCATCCAAATATTCAGACAATGCTATGAATTCAGCTTTCAAAGCAGCACTACCCATGCGCACTGCTCCACCCACCCATGCACCCACACACATACTAAATACCCCCACACACCTTCACCCACCCACACCCACCTTATTTTAGCCCCCAGTTTCTCGTTGGCTGCCTTCTGTTCTTGCACCCAGGTGTTCACGTTCTGCACCACCATCTCACTCTCCCTGTGCAGCCGGTCGCCATTATTCCTGGTCTCGTCCAGAGACTGGCGTAGACCTTCAATCTCGGCGTTGGCACTGTGATATTTCTCCCTGAGGTTGTTTACTTCATCTTTGAGGTGCTCACTCTGGAAAATTGAACAACTCAAAATTTGATGTGTGGAGACTCTTTAATACCTGGACTTCACACCTTTGACCATGAATGCAAGTGTTTATATTTTTTCATGAAAAGTTAAAATGTTGAGCATAAAAGCTGTTATCCTTATCAATGGCATTAGCCACTTTTTCAATTAACATTTTGTTTCAGATCAGTCATAGCCTTTTGGGCAAACAAATGTGCCAGCAATATATGTAAATATGTCTACACTCCGATTCCATCTTGACTGCGCAACTTGCTGATATTGTGAAAAAGTAAAAAAGTTGTTTTCTTTAATTCTTGTGCTTCTCCCCACAATTCAGTATACAAAAATAAAATATCTATCTATACTCTACATTACGGGTATGTTCTATCACGAACTGATCTCACCTCCCTGGGGAGTGTGATACACATGTTGTGCTCTCAGTTTTTATTTTCATTTACCAGCCCTCCCATTACCAGATCATGACACACACAAAGCAGGCCAAAAACATGTTACACTTGACCAGAAATATCACTGAGTCATAGGTTTTATTAATAGTCCAAAAATTTGGTGCATAAAAAAAGGTACATGGGGGACATTTACCTACAAGCAAGAAATTTGGCACAGTGGTAGATAATATGGCCAACAAATCCAATAATGGCTGTCCAAAATGCCCTTTCAAGATTGCTGGCCTATTAGAGGTAGAAAAGAGCAGAGAATAACCCACCTCCTCCAGTTTGTTCCTGTATTTCTCCTGCAATGAGGACAGCTCCACCTTCATCACCACCAGTTCCTCTTCCTTCTGGGACAGCTCCTGCAGACCCTGCTTGTTCCTCAGCTCATAACTGCTGAGTTCACTGTGCAGCTCCTGGAACTTCTCCTCGTAGCTGTGCAGCTGAGGAGAGGGATGAAAAATAAGGCAACAGTAAAAGATGTGCATTGAACTACAGGTGGTGCAAGTTTTCAATGTTAGAACAGGCAAATATTAAGTAATAAATTCTGAGTTAATGTCAATAAAATATCTCATGTAAATAGACAATATACTAATACACAACACAATTAATTTCCTTATACTTGGTTTGAAGGAAGGAAAGATTCAAAAATTGATTATTATTATTATGCACACCAAAACACTGTAAAACATTTTTGTTTGTTATACTTTGATAAAATGAATGTTAAACATGCCTTGGAAGAATTTATGTAGTGTCTCAAATTTCAGATAAAACAGCTCATTATATCCTCCCCTCCCCAGTCTCACGAAAAGACTTAAAATAAGTCATTTTTCCAGATAAAACTTCAGCAATTCAGCATTAAGTTTTCAATTTGTGTAAGCATACTACTTGAATTTAGACAGCTTAGGATTTAAGAATTTTTTTTGCCAAATTGGGCGAAGGGGGGGGGGGGGGGGTTGGCAGGAAAATGATCTGCCATGTTTCAAATTTAATACTATTTTGTGAAACAGGGGGGGTCTTGGTGATAAGTAATAAACACTGGTTGAAGACACCCACCTCCTCCTCTGAGGCTCTGTTCAGTTCCTGTACTTTTTTCAACTCGTGTCTCAGTTTTCTCATCTTGTCTTCATAAACCGACAGCTAGATTGAAAAATAAAATATCATCAGACAACATGCATTGACAAATATGCTAAAAAGGTTAATTAAAAATTTGTAACTATGTATCAAATAGCAAAGCCCCCAACTATAATCTTTTCCTGACAAATGTGTTCATAACATAAAACCTTGTACAGCATGTATAAGAGATTTTACAAAAAAAACCATAAAATCACATGCTTTGAGAGAGAGACGGGACTCCTCACCTCCTCTGCCATTGCCTGGTTCTGTTGCTTTGTCCTGGAGAAGTCTGTCTTCAGGGTGGTCAGCTGCTTGGACTGGTCACCTAGGTGATCCATGGCCTCCTTGTGGTTGCCCTGGGCAGTGGTCAGCTGAATCTTCAGGTCATGTACTTTCTGCTCATTCTCTATCAGCTGTCAAGGAGGAAACAAAATTGGAGAAAATTGCACGATGGAATTGTGTTTGCAGCGAGATACCCTCTATTTTATATATCAGCCTCAAATATGTGGAACAAAATTTACATTCCCTAAATGAGATAAAATGATGAAAAAAAATACTTCATATATAAAAATCTCATTATGTCTGAAAAGTTCAAACATATATGTTAATATGTTTCCTAAAAGGTCTATGGAGATTACTAGACATCCTGTTGAGATAATTAATACATATGCAAAACATTGATCTATTTCTGGACATCCTATGTTTGCCAATGTATAAGATGTTCCAACATTAACATTGTCACAGACATCATATATTAGCCGCGGTAATTCCAGTAATACATAGCAGTTTACAAACTTGAACCCTTGAATATAGGCCGAACCCTCCCCCCCCTTTTTTCTGTCCCCTTGCCTCACCTCGTTATGGCAGCTCCTGTATTGTTCCTGGCCCTGCTCTATCTCACTCTGCAGCTGGGCCAATGTTTCCTCATACCTTGCAACCTGGAAGTAAGCACAGTGTAAGGGAATCATTTTCATTAATATTATTACTAATTGGAGTATTAAAAAATTGTGCCACTGATAGACATTTTCACTGTTTTAAGGATACCTGAAGTTAACACATTTTCAAAATGGAATAACTGTGATCATTCTGAGGTGAAGCATGTGTGCTAAATCACTTAAATTCAAATCACATTAGGAAAAAGTTTGCCAGTTCAGATCAAATCATTCTTCAGCAAAACAAAACAAAAATAAATAAATAAAATGAAAAATAAATAAAACCCTGTGAGTGTATTGCCATGCCCCTACTGACCTCCTGTTGAAGAGATTTGCCAGCACAACTCAAATCATGGATTTTTTTCACTCTAAAAAATTATAATATAAATAAATAAAAATATTAAAATAAAAAAAGAACCACTGACCTCCTGTGAGTGGTGCACACTCTGTTTCTGTGCAGTGGCCAGGTTCATCTTGGACACCCTGAGTTGACCATCCTTCTCAGCCAGGTCTTCCTTCAGTGTGCGCAGCTTCTGCTGCAGGCTCTCTACCTGTGCCTCCAAGGTGGAGATCTGGCTGTCTTTCTCCTTCATCTAATACACAATGAGATAACAGAGTTTTTTTTATATTTATTTGTGCTTTGTTGATACATGTCAAAAGAGATGAGAGTAGATGGTTAACTGTCTGTACTATGTATCAATATGAAATATAAATATAAAAATCAACAAAGTAATACCCACTCAAGTTTCTGTAGTTCAGAACTGACAATAAAAAATACTTATAAATCAATATTTTTAGGATTCTACAAGTTAAAATGACAGATGAAAAAAAGGTGTGTTGCATCATATGCTATAGTTGACCTCCTTGTTGACCCACTCACCTTGTTGAGACAGTCCTTGTTCTGTTTCTGTGCGGCCTCCAGCTCATCCTGCAGTTCTGCAATCATCTTCTTGCACTGCTGGAGCTGCTTGTTGCTGTCTTGTTGTCTGCCTCGCTCCGCCTTCAGCTCTGCCTGCAGCTGGCTCAGCACTCCGTCTTGCTGCTCTATCTGAATATAATAATAATAATAATAATAATAATAATTGTACAGTTGTAGCCCACATGCACCTCAGTGCTACTTAAAACCAGTTAGA